GATGTTCCATGGTGTGGAGGATCTCTCTGGCCAGTCGGGGTCAGCTGTCCTGGCCATGCTCTCTCCTGGCTTCTTTTTGCACCTGTTTGCTGGCAGAGCATGGGCAACTGAAGAGTCCTTGCTTTAGAGTAAGCACTGTTTAGCAACAACTGAAACATCGGTGTGTTACCAAAATTAAATGTCATCCTAAATCCAGAACACAGCACTGTACCCAATACTAAAAAGAAAATTAACCATGGTGGCCAAAACCAGGACAGGTAGGTGTTTTAAATTCATAGTTTGCATTCTCTTGTTAAGGTTTCTTTTCATATTGTTGCTACAGTGACCTGGTTTTTATCTGTCAAAAGTACTGGAGGATTTTGGTGTTGTTTGTAGTTCTGCAGACCCCTATGGGGCACCTGGTCCCATTGGCTGTTTCCTGACACAGCACTATCCCCTCCTTGTGCAAAAATAGCTGTGTCTGCCTTCAGAAGCTCATTACTCCCTCTCACAGAACATCTTGGTAGGCAACAGCTGAGATCCCTGGGATGTCCCTACTGTGTTTGGTGATCTTAGTACTTTCCAGCCTGCAATACTTTCTGTTCTTAATGAAAGTTTTGGAAGATCATGACATGAGCTTCATTGCTTGCCTTATCAGTAGGTCTGACAGTAAGGTGGTTAAACAGTCAACCTGCTGCATCTAAATATCAGTTTAGTAGTAGAATATAAATTTTATGTTTATGACAGTTATTTGGGGTTTGTTTGTTTAAGTGTCACTTCTTAATGAATATTATAATATTTTAAAGTTTTGTCTTTTTTCTGGTAGAACTCTTGCAGTATTTTTAGGTTTTGACTAGACGGGTAGTTTCTGAGTATTTAAAAGAAAACTTTTGGGATATGCTGATGTCTGACCTGATTGCCACAGCAGAGCCCACACATAATCTCTTTATTTTGTTGTATGTTTACCCAGGTAGCTTGTAGAATAGGGCTTTGTGATTGCTAGAAAACAGAAAAGGATTGTTTGTAACAATGGAACATTTTAGATCTTAAGTTGATGTTGCTTCATCACATCCCAAAGAAAGCTGTGAAATAAAATCCCAACTATCCCCAGTCTCCTGCTTTCCACAAGCCCTGCCACAGGGGAGGCTTAAAAAAACAGGGCTTCCCTTGTGAGTCTGCATGTCCCACGTGTGTCTCACATGGGGAGAGGTTTCCAAGGGGTCTGAAGGTAGAGCAGGAAAACAGGAAATTATCAACATGATTATTACTCAGAATGTTGTAAATCTCTACATAAGACATGTAAATAAGGAGACCAGCTACTGTTAGGAAGGTGGGTAGTCTGCATAATCAACTGGGGGTGCTATATGCTGTTTGTTATTTTGAGTGTTCTCTGCATTCTGCTTTATAAAGGGGAATAAAAATAATATGAGAAGAAATCTTTGAACCTCTGTTAAGTGTCTTTCTCCTCATTTGAAAAAATCCAAATTACAGCTTGAATAGTGTAAAAGCTAAGGATTATCTTTTCACCACTGTATACACCTTACTGAAGCAAATGTGATGGAAGTGTTAATTAAAAGAGAAATTGAATACACGTGTTGTAAATCTTATCAGTCTCAGTGACTTCCCTGCATATCAGTCCCCTTTCAATGTTAGGCAATTGAATTTTTTTTCTTTTTATTTCCTATTTCTGTCCTTGGAGATGCTCAAAAATCATCTGGATATCTGGCTCTGGTGGCCCTGCTTGAACAGGGGTTTGGACAAGGTGGCTCTGGGCCACCTTCCAGCCTCAACCAGATGTGATTCTGTGAGTTACCCAAGTTGTAAAATGTGTGGAATTCTCAAGCCTTTTGATGGCCCATATGGACAGGAACTTTAGTCCTTGCAATTTTGGGTGATTTCTTGTAATAAGAAAAGAAAGCTTTTCTGTCCTCAGCAGCCAGGTGAGAAAGAACTATGAATATAATTGTATTAAAATAATAAAAAAAAATGAGTACAGTGTTTCCTAGTATTTTCCTAAAGTTTTAGTAAAGGATAATGACATTAAAAAATAACTTAGAGACTCTGGGGAATTGTACAATTAGATTATTTAAATCTCAGTTTCCCCTCTAACTCACTATACATAGGCAAGACCTTCATTGTGCCAAAACAATTATGAAAAGAGAACACAAAACAAAACATTACATATGAATCTGCAAATGAGCTTCCCATTTGTTAATCATCCATGGATCGATCCTTCATTCCCAGTAGCTTCAAAGTAGGATGCCATAACCAAATCTGATGATGTTCATTAAGCATACTGTGCAAGGTGCTTCCATGAACATCTCTAAGGTGTATTTGAGATGCCCCCTTGCCAGGCCAGTGCTGGGATCCATCTCCTAGGAATTTGAATCATGAAATGCAGTGCTCCTGTTCTTCCTCAGTTTTCTGCAGGAAAACTTTCCACAAAGTTTTTTTCACAAGTAACACACACTACTTTGATGCTATTTAGTGAGCCTGTATTTTCAGGCTTCCAACGGCATATTGAGGCACAGTTTGCTTTATTGCGGAGACAGCAACTGAGATGTTGTTTGTCTCATTTAGTATAATTTGGGTCCCTCCTTCTCTGGAGAAGCAAACAGCAGGGGAAATGCACCATAAGGATGTAAGCTCATATAGTTGTCATGTGTAGTGAAACAATCTGTGTCTTCTCGCACAGTCCAGAGTTCCTGGGAGTGAGTGTGAGTGCCCCTGAACTTTGCCTTCCCAGTGTGCTGGGTGCCCAGTAATGGTAATGAGATGAAAGCTGGCAGAGAGTAAATGGCTTTTTTCCTTCACTCGATTGAAAGTTTCAGCAGGCGCACAAAAAAGACAGAGTTCCTTTTGCACAGTTTAACTAGGTTAAAGAAAGTCGCCAAGATGGATCAGAGCAAGGCCGGGGTTTCCGGTGGTCTTCCTGGAGCACTTCAGGCATGGCTGTCCCAGGCTGTGTTGTGGGTTTTGTTCTGAGTGCTTTGGCGTCTGCCTGTCTTCTAGGTGTTTATGTTTTGCTCTCTTCATTGAGGTTGCATTTAGAAATTTGGGGGTTACTGGCACAAGATTGTCTTTTGGATCCAGCATACTTGGAAACGCACTGCAGACCGCTATGAATGGCTCTGCTGGACACTGCCTCTTTCGGGAATCTTCATCCAGGAAACATCCAGGGATGTTTCTTCAGATGTGCCAAAAACTGAGGGTGTGGGGTTTGCTTTTATTTTGTTTGGTTTTCCGTACAGAGGCATTTACTATTCCAAGAGATGTATTCCCAAGAGGATATTTATTTAGTGTCAAATCATCATTCAGCACTCTTTTTTCAGAGCAGTAGTGAAGGAGTTTAATACCAGCCATTTGGATTTTGGAAAGGTGGTCACTTTTGGATGTTTCAGGTGTCCAAAAAACATTTCAGATGTATGTTACTGATAACTGAAATAGGAGAAGCAGTTTCAGTTTACACCAGCTCAGATAAATACTTGGAGCACTCTGTCATGAACAGGATTTTTTTTTTGCCTTAATGTTATTTCTCCTCAATACTGTTTAGAGGTGTTCACTGAGAGTTTTAAATGTTATACATTGTCTTCCTAAATGAGTTCACTTTTGGTTAAAGAAAAATCTTACTTGGATCTCTGTGCATGAAACAAGACAGATTTCCCATTTTCCATGTGCTGTAGCAGGCATAGGATTTCAGTATTTTAGACCAAGCTGCACAGTTTTATGTTCTGAGAAATTTTCTCTTTTCCTGGTTTTATTTATAAGATTAAAGCTTGCAGCAGGTTTTTATACATGCCCACCCATGTAGCAGATTCTTCTACCCTTTCATTTCTCCACTTGTCATTTATCCTTTGCAATATTTAATTATATTTTGACATGTTGTACATTATTTTTTAAAAAAATGTGAATGTATTTTCTGCTGAAGTTTTCTAAATAATCTGCTGCTTTACTCTCACTGGACTTCTTTGCAAGAGCTGTATGTACTGGCCTCTGAGCTCAAACCCATGTTCACTGGGAATTTTGAAGGGGACCTTCCTCTGGCAAGGGTGTGAGACAGATCTAGAAACCATGGACACAGGCAGAATGAGGCATGTGTATCTTAAGCTGGATATGTCAGAGCACATCTGTCAGAGTCTTGTGATTTTTATGTTGCTTAGGTTTGAAAAATCAAAGTACAGAGGAGTGCAGAAACACCAAATTCTGTTGCTGTACAGCCTTTAACCTTGTTCCTGTGTGTTCTGGTGCACTTTGCCATGTCCTTCTGGTAAATCCCTGACTCACTACAAGTGAAGGGGGAAGTGATTGGGAAGAGGATTTAAAGTTACGCAGACAGTGGCAACTTCATGTTTCATGTCTAAGAGCAAAACCAAACTTTCTAGTTAAATCTAAAATTTTCAACTGTAGATGTATTTATTTATATATACATCTAACAACTAAGTTGATGTAAAGGCATGCTAAAAATTGGTTATGTTCCTTCAGTTCAGAAAGAAGTTTAAGCTGGCATAAACCATGTCCTTCATTCCTTCACCTCCTCAACCCTGTGCCAGCATAGTTAGTGTAACCAGGAATGAATTTGTGCAGGGAATTTAACAAAGTAAAAGGTAGTAGAGGAGGAAAAAAGGTTGAATATACACCAAATTAGTGAACACTGTGATGTTTGTTCAGGGCTGACACAGCAGGTACGTGAGAGATGTGGGGAGAATGGAAATGTCTAAAACTCCAGCCTTGTGTGAAGTTTGTCACTGAACAGCTCTCCCCTCACCCCATTCCTTGTTGCTGTTGAACAGCTTTAGTTCACCGTGGCATTTTGTGTTATGAAAATAATTTTGTAAGCATCTAGTTTCATGTTTTAGCTAGATGTGATAATTTCCTATTCTTTTAATTTTGTTGTGTGGCAGAAGATATTTACATGGGTTAACCCATCTGTAAATAAAATGGATGTTTTCTGTGCAAGGGAAGGCTTCCAGGTGCAGATAAAATACTAATTTTTATTTTTTTTTTTGTATTCTTTCACCCAGAAGTCAAGGAGCAGTCTGCAGAAGAGGATGCCCAGACGGAAGTGGAGAGCACCAAGCAGCTAACACCAATCCTTCAGCACTCCGTGTCCGAGGAGTCCACGAGCTCCACCGCCTCCGTGGGTGTGGAAGCCAAAACCAGGTGAGTGAGAGAGCGCGGAGGAGGCGGCTGCTGAGTCAGGGGCAGGGCTGGGGCTGGGGCTCTGGGGTGCAGAGTGCTCGGGGCACAGGGCTGGGACTCGCTGCCACTGCTTTGATGTGCTGGGCCTGGTGCCTTAATTGGCACATGGGGAGATCAAGGTGGAAAGCACGTCCTGTGAGTGCTGTCCTCACACTGCTCTGGGAAACCCTTGAGTTACAGCATATTTGCTGGGTAAATTAAAGGAGGCATAAGTATAGGAGATAAAATGTGATTATTGGAGGTTTCCCGCTGTGTAGGAAATGGTATATTAGCAAATTTATATAAAGTAATTTTTGATGTTTCAGCTTGTATGAGTGTATTTTCAGGAACAAAGTAAACCAGATCTCTTACCATATCTACTGTGTTCTTACAGAGAAAATACCATTTGTATTTTTTTACCTTTTTATTAACACAAATGAGCCTAAAAACAGAGAAAGTATTATGTTACATGAGTGAGACCAGAACACACTGACTGTGGTCACTGTTGAAACAGTGTCACACAATTCTAGAAGAGCTTCTCTGGTGAAGCTCTGATAATATTTTCTAACCCAGTACCAGGTCTGTCTTGCTGCAGAAGGTGCTGTTACCAGCTACCAGACAGTTACAGGTATAATTATATTTTGACAGACTTGGAGAGAACTGTTGTCATCATTTTTCTTCCTCTTAATCCAACACAAAGCATATTTTCCATGCACAAAAAAATTACTTAGTCTACTTGATGCATATATAATTTTCATGTTTTACATGCTCACAAACTTCTTAGATTCCAAGAACTACTTTGCTTCTCACAGAAAATTCAGTTAAATAGTTCTTGTGCATGTACCTGTGTGAAATACCTAAAAATTTCTGTTCTTGATGGAATCTTCAAAGGCTGAGATTAAATTGCACTAAATACGTAGAGCAACTTGAACTGAGCAGCTGTTCTGCTTCATTATTTGACCCTGTTTTGGATCATTTGCAAAAATTTTAGTGCTGTTTCATCTGCTCTCTGTTCTTCTCAAGGTTACTTTTTTGCTGTTATCATGAATATTTGATTACACCACTTTCCATAGCCATAGACTTGTTTCTTAAAAACTGGACAGCAGCCTCCTGAAAAAACTTTGGCCTGGTTCTGAGCCAGCCCTTATTTGCCCTCAACTTATTCTTCCTTCCAACTGAAAGTGTTGACTTTGATCAGTCAGGATGGAATGGCTATTATGTGCTCATTGCTTTGGCTGATCAAAGCATTAAAAAGCTGAGTACTATTAATTTTTAATTAAAATAATAGTGATCAGACTGTCTCTGACATTTTGGAAAGAAATGTATTGAGGAGGTATAAAACTGTTAATTGGGAATCAGAGGGTTTCTCTGACCCCAGGTAATTTTGATTTCAAGCTTAGAGGCAGAATGGGGGTAAGTCACAGAAGTCATTGATGTCCTCATATCAGTGGAAAAATCCCAGATGTCAGGGTTTCTCTGGAAGTGAGTCTTGAAAAAAACCTCTTCTGATCTGTGACTTTTGATCAATTGTTTGTGTCATCATCTGTGTAGTGCTGCTACCGACATTGTGTCGTGCAGGGTTTGGAGGGCTGAATTCTGGGGGCTGAATTGACTGTGTTTTCTTAGGAGAAAATACAGTGTCTGAAATAATAGACATTGCTAGTGGTTGTGTAATGATAGGAGGAAATGAATCAAGATTCAGGATAAAGTGTGACTCCACAGTGCCTTAAAACTGTAACTTGGAGAAGTAGTTTTAAAGCTGATTTCCAAATAATTCATACTCATCAGCTTCATCTCTTTCTTGGTAAGCTTTTCTGTTTTATAATATAAGTAACTTACGCTTTCTAATAAAATGAAAGTGTTTGTATATTTAAAAATAGCTTTAGGTATGTGAGACATAGGAGAATTATGAGAGTATATCATAACAGACAGAGCAGATATTGCCTTGAAGACAGAAAAGAATCCAAGCCTCCACAAGAAGTAGATATAGGTGTAGGTGGAGCTACTTTTGCATTGCTTTTTTCAGAGTTGACTATAAGACAATTCTGTGTTTCTGTCTTTGTTAGTGAAGATAAAGGAATTAGAGAAACACAGGGCACAGGGCATAAAATAAAGTATTTTCCGTGAAAAAACTAAATATTTTTCTACTGAAAACCAGTGATTTTAACATAGTAGGACATGTCAAAATGAGAAAGGAGATCTCAGTAGCTGAGACATTAGCCAGAGCTTGGCTTGTGTGGTATTTTTCTCTGGATCCTTCCCGAGACTGCGGCTAAATAAAAACATTCAAGAGAAAGGCGAGAGAGCTGGTAAATTTTGGAACCTTCCTGAGGTGGGATATGGAAAACCAAGAGAACTACTGACAGCGAGTGGGATTGGGGCAGGGAATTAAACAACAGATTCAGGAGTAGTGCTCAGAAAGCAATGTGTTAAAATCCCATTAAAATAAAGAGAGTCTGAGCCATACTGGGGTAGGGAGGCTGAAAAGGGGTGAGGCGTGTGCTTGAAAGGAGCGAGTGAATTATTGACCACATGTGGGGAGGGGCAATAACATCAAGCAAAGATAAACTCCCAAGCCTGGCAGCGGCAGGAGTAACACTGCCAGCTCCTATATATCATGAGCGTCATGGATTTTGGAGCCTTTTCCTTTGGTTGTTCCCTTTTTTCTTTTTCTAAGCCTTGTGAGAAGCTTCTGTCAGCCCGGGACTTAAGGCTGAGTGGAATCCAGCTTCTTCGAAAGGAATCTGCTGCCTTGGTTTGTGCTGCCTGCAGAGAGCAGGGGAAGTGCAGCCCTTGGGGAAGGCAGGGAGCCAGGAGCCGGCTGCGACTCAGAGCAGAGCCCACTTCCACCTTCCTCCTCTGTTTCCCACATTGGCAACCCCTGGCATTAAAAGCTAATGAGAATGGCCTAGAAACACAATTTCATAGAAGAACAAAACACCTTTTGATTCATTTTACTTTCTGTCTGCTCTCAGAGACTGTGAATCACATTAATTGCATGTTTTCAGTCCTTTTGCCATAATCATGAAGACGGAACATTCTTAAATCTGAGGTTTTCACACAGCTCTTTTTGATTTTGGTACTTTGGCCTGCTTAAATATCTGCTCTTGTGAGATTGTTGCTAAAACTACAGAAAAAAACCCAAACCAAAGAACTGGCAAAACACCTTCCTGCTTTCTTGCTTCACTTGTAATTGGACAAAGCACGTAATTTTCATTCCAGACCAATTGCGCCATTCCCTGTTACTTTGTTGCTGCTGCTGCTAGGATGAAATCTGGAGTGTGGAGATGGAGGGCTTGGGTGCTTTATTCCATAGAAAAGAAGTGGTTGGTGGACATCTGTAGATCGCGTGAACAAAGAAAATAGTGAAAAAAAATAGCAGTGAACTTCTCTTAGTTCCTTTTTTTTTTTTTTTTTTTTTTTAATAATCTTAAAGCATATTACAAAATTTGTAACACTCAGAGCAAAACTCAGTGGAAAAAGGAATTGTGGAGTGGCAGAGAGTAGACAGTCTGGACAGAATAGTACTGTAGTGATGGAAGGAAAAGCTAGGTCTCTAGGCAGGAGGAATTTAGATAAAAGATTTAATATTAAAGTATGTTAAAAAATGTGTTGAAGTTGTAAAGTCAAGAACATGTTTAGAGGAGCAAACAGCATTAAGATTAATTTTGAAATGGATTATTTCTTTTCATGAACCTGTACTGTGATACAGTTTGCAGTTCTGTGTGAATGTTTTTCTCCAATAATTGTTTCTGCAGAGAATGGACCTTATGCATGACACAGGGCATTTGAAGTCATTGTAGAGTTTTGCCTTTACATTTCCAGCTCTAGATCCATATAAGCATTTATGGTATCTTCCTCTGAAACCAGTGATTTACATCTGGAAAGAAGACATACCATTCCTTTGTCTTCCAAAGTAAAGTACTACTTCAGCATTATATTAATGACCAGTCAAACCCAGAGTGAAATTACTGATTTGGCTAGCAGGGCACAACTAAAGACAAAGACCACACACTGAAAAATGAGAAAAAAAGTTAAATATTTACTGCTTTTCCATCCTGTTTGTTCATGCATTGTTAGGGAAATGGTCTCAAGAATTCTGTGACGAATCATTGTTGAAGCAACTTCGCCTTGGATTTATAGGGCAGGAAGGGACCTTTGGAACTCATCTGGTTCACCTCCTTTTCCAAGGCAGTTATCTACAGCTGTCATTCCTGACACAAACTTATATAAACTGCTCTTAAATCTTGCAGTAATAAAAACTCCATATCTTCCCTAAACAGTCCCTTCCAGTCTCTTCTTTGTTTTTACTGTTGGAACCACTTTCCTCATATCTAACCCACACTCTCCTCATTCTGGGTTTATTCCATTACTACTCATACCATCTGCCAAGGATAATGGAGGACAGCTTTGTGCAAAAGCCTCTCATTTATTTCCCAGCATGCTTTACCTCGTAACAGAAATCCCAAATTTGTTCCTACTTTCTTTGTAGATGATGTTTTCTTGAGCTCAGATCCTTGCTGGTTTGAGTTTTCTCCAGATGGTCTGTGTCTTTCTCAGAGCACAGAAGGCGTGTCACACAAATGGGGCCAAAGAAGGGTTTCAGAGGCAGCCAAAATTCTGCCTTTTGCTTAGGCTGAACAATTGCCATTGTGGCCATAATGTGTTTAATGCTCTCATGTAGAACTTGTGCCTTGTGGGATTTGACACCATAATCAGTGACATTCATGGCTGGGCCTTTAAGTTGCACAGACCTTTGGTCCATGATTTAATCTGTTCTGTAGGAAGGTCCAACCACTGAAACCATGAAATACCTCCTGCCCAGCCATGAGCAGGTACTCCAGGCTTCTGGAGTCCCATTCTCAGCTTCTCACAGATGTTCTTAGACACTTTTTGTGTTTCATCTCCGTCCTAAGACTGCTTGTCTCCACCTGGGTCTGCACTGCTGCTTACAAGTCCTGCACTGGTGAGCAGCAGTCTGA